CTTTTTATTTAACTTTTTGTTTAAATTTTTACGAAATTTAAACAAGAAATCAAACTTTTTATTTTATATACCCACCAGTAGGTGGCGCCACCAAAAACAGTTACTTTTAAGGGGTTATATACAGTTGTGATAGATGAAAAAATCGATTTTTTTTTATTGCATATTCTTTAAGTATATAATGTTGAGAACACTCTCACAAAATTCAAATTCAAATCAAAAAGCTACAGCAGCTTTTGATCATCAGTCGTAAAACGCATAAAAAATGATTTGTTTGACGATTCCGAGGGTATTGTACACCGAGGGTTCGTCCCAGCTGGCCAAACGAGTAATTTTGTGTGTTATCTTGTTGTTATGAAGCGTTTTATCGTGACGCAGTGCGTAAGGAAGGGTCCTGCCGTCTGTTTCACGAGAATACGCCGTCTCATCGATCGACATTTGTCACTGATTTAAAAGAAAAAACAATTCATTTTAACCTTTATTCACTCACCCTACTCACCTGATCTGGCCCCTGTGCTTTTAACCTATTTGGAAAACTTAATTTACCCATGAACCCGTGAATTTACCACTGGTCTCGAACATTTTAGCTATCCAACAGGGGACGAACGATATTCTCAAGAGCATTCCGAAAACTTTCTATACTTTGAATAAAAATATATAACTTTTGAAATTATTGCCTTTACAGAGGGTATTATAATTTTGGTCAAAAGTTTGCAACGTAGTGACGGTGACATCTCCGACCCTATAAAGTATGTATGTATATTCTTAATTGGGATCACCTCATGAGTTGATATAAAAATGTCCGTCTGTCCGTTCGTCTGTCTGTTTTCAAGCTATCGACTTAAGATTTTGCACGCCCCTTTGCAAGAACGGAACGGCCGAGATCGGTCGACTATATCCTAAAGCTGCCATATAACAGGTTGGTCGAAAATGTATAACTTTGGTGTTTTTAGACTTAGAAAATTGGTATTCTATTTGATTATATTTTTGGCAAAATAATATATATATATATATATTTTTTATTTTAAACGTTACTTTTATTTCTTGAATCTTCTCTTTGCAAGACTAACAAGAGGTGTATCAAATTTGATATTGTTAACTTAACTAACAGTCATATTGACTGATACAGAGTTAGACGGCCGTAAAAATCGATTGCTGGGTTGAGAGGTCGTTGCGTCGGAGGCGGGATACGCTAGAAACCCGAGTCAATTCCCTAGCGAGGAAATTTGGGATTTCGTCTCTCACTGCGAGGATGCCCAGATTCCGGTGGATGTTTTCGTTGCGAACATACCAAGGTGCCCCATTGATAGTTCTCAAGATTTTTGATTGTGCAGCGTTGATGTCTATGTTGCTGCTGCTCGCGTTTCCCCACAGCTGGGAGCCATACGTCCAGATTGGCTTTAGGACTGAATTGTAAAGTAGTAACTTGTAGTCCAGTCACAGTGGCGATCGTGAGATCCAGAGGAGGCTGCTGGCTTTTAGTTTTAGGTGAATCTTTTTGCATTCGATGTGCTTACGCCAGGTAAGTCGTCTATCAAGAGGACGCACAAGTTACGTTACTTCGTTAGTTTGAGGGATCTCCCCATCGTTTAGTGAAAGGGGAGGGCATGTTTGTCTATTAAGAGTAAACGTTATATGTCTACACTTTTGTTCGTTTATTTTAATGCGCCAATCGCACAGCCATCTTTCCCTTACTATTAGATGATTAGCCAGTTGGGTTGTTGCCTGCGTTGGGCATATGGAGCGACTAAGGATAGCGGTATCGTCGGCGAACGTTGACGTTTTTAGTTGTGCGTTCGTAGGAATATCCGCAGTATACAAAACATATAGACACGGGCCGAGTGCGCTTCCTTGTGGAACTCCAGCTTCGATGACGTAGTCGCCCGAAGTAGCTGCGTTGCATCTCACTAAGAATTCCCTATTGAAGAGGTATGATTCCAGTAGCTTGGGGGTGTATGTTGGCAAATACGTTTTAATTTTGTGCATGAGTCCAATGAGCCAAACTTGGGCAAAATAATATGACACTTAAAACCTGAATTCGTCCGTGGCTGCAATCGCATTCCCAAAATCTTTTTCTCTGCCTCGCCCCATTCAATACTCTGGGCATAATCACTTTGTCTGAGTATCCTTTCTACCTTGGGCGAAATAGACGAAAACTTGCACAGCTTGCATCCGCCTTCTGTATGTGTCTCATTCACTCGGGTAGATTCTTCAATCGCCTCGATCTCTGTGGCGAAACTGTCCACATAGCATTCACAGTCTTCACATGATGCGCAATCGGTAAGCATATAGCTCCAAAGGTCATCACGCAAAACTCATAAGCTTTGGGTCATCCCCGTTTCTTCACAAGAATCGTTGCACCCATCTATCTTCAGGTTGGATCAGCACCTGGTGAAAGATCTAAATATTGCTTTGTCAACTGACCGTTCGTTTTGTTTTCTTCTCGATATTGACCAGCCGATTGTACGCCATAGTTACATGGCAGCCCAATGTGATCCTTTTTCCACAATAATCCCGTCTGTTATCGACGTCCAACTCGCACCTTAGTGTCCTCCAAGATCTGCTATGCCCTCACGTCGTCGCTGGCTGCAACTGCTGACGCCAACACCAAAATCGGTCTTTCTGTCTTTCGGTCTTCTCGGTCTCGAATTAGTCCTCCACGATGCATTCCACGTTATCATCCAATGACTTTGCTAGCAGGCAAGTCCAAGGCGTCTCTCGTCGCCCTGTACGCCTAGCTACTCAATCAGCTCTTTGTCGACCATCGTCACAGAGGAACCTTCACCCAACAGCGCGTACGTATCTTACTTCCCGCTTCCCACCTCCGTATAGCGTCACTGGCAATACACGGAACAGTGGTCGTTCTGCGTTCTCGTGGACATAGCTTAAATTTCTTTCCGGAGTACATGAGCATCCACAGATGAAGATGCTCCTTTATTTACTCGGATGCCTTCCCTCGCTTCTCCAATTCCTCCTCACTGTGATGGTCTCCTGAAGCCTTCATTGCGTCCTTCATGAAGAATTCGGTGATACTTCCTCCTGCATCCACTGACATGACATTCTCTCAACACAGCGTCGGATCCAGTCATGTGCCCGCTTTGTGAGCACGTAAAGCAAAGTAGATGCGACCTCACGATCCACCACCTCGCTGTAGGTGTGACTCCGATGAACCATAGGCAGTTCCAAATGGCATGTTGTCCAGATCCGCTGTCTTAACACATTGGACAACTGCTGAGGCATATTCTGTTTCTCATCCTGATCGCGATCAATGCTAGATTAAAACAATCGACGCCTTGGCTCTTTTAAGTCAATGTCTGCTTCCACGCAGCCCACATTAGCTAAGTCCGTCAGCCACGAACTGAAACCCACAATGTTTGGATATCTTCATCGTTCAGTCGAGGACTCCTTCTGGGCGAGCGCTGCATCTCGTCCAGGAATTAATCCAGCAACACCTTTTGCTTCCAGTAAACTTTGCGCTGTTCGCGCCACAAATGCTACCCTTTCACTAGGGTGCGATTCAACTCCGCCAAGCGCCATACAAAATGGCCGCCAAATGCCAAGCCACCAACGCCAGTCGCCAATGCAGTCCACCAGTCCGCCAATCCAATCACTTCGTTCGGGTTTCTCACGTGTAGGCGTGCTCCTACCACTTTCTAACTAATGGCTGCGCAATGCCAGAGCCATTAGTGCATTGTATACTCATCGAACAACGTAAAACATATACATATATTTTATTCTGTGGTGGGGTTAAAAATTCAATAATAGTTCAAATTTCGTCTAAGAAACGCCTTACCGCAGTTTCATCTTCCACATTCCATGACTCTTGACGAAAAACTAACCGCGCGCGCCAACTTTATATAAGTGTGCCCAATTACTTCATAGGGGCACAATACCAAACGATAAGAAAATACTAAGCTAAACTATTGGCATCGCATTCGACCCGCGACATCTTCACCTTCGTGAAAAACATCTTCAATCAAATCAAAAAAACCGCCAATTTGGAAACGGGCGCATTATCCAGCGAGACCAATTTCCAACCATGATTCGCACGCTGGCTCGCCCGATTGCTCCATCCACTCCAGCAAAGGCTTCCTTTAAGACGCCTATCCGCCAGCCTCGACGAGGTACAGCTGGGTCACAAACGAAGACGATGTCTTCTTGACGAATCGGCTTCTCTCTGCGGCACCACTTCTTTCTCCTTGTCAGCGTGGGCAGGTACTTCAAGACTCAACTTTTCCAGAATCCTTTTCCGGTCCCTCAGCATCCTTCACAATGCTTCCATCTCAGCCGGGGGTATCTGGCAGATAAGCTGCTTCCTTCAGAAGATTATTCGGCGCAAGATTGACTTCCTGGTCCGTACTCACCGACAGGTGAGTTAGCGGAGGAGGTACTCTTGAACGGCCAAGCATTGGCCTCCAGACCATACTCTGGCAGGGGTCCTATAATCGGCGGCGTCGGCCGCGCTCTCTGCAGCTTTCACAGGTTCAACATCATGTCCCTCACTCATTATTGCTGAATTATAATTTAAACGTTTTACCCAACTGAAGGAAATAAATGAATGAATGAAGTGTTTCAAGAATGCACCCTATCACTTGTACTGAAAACAAGAGAATAGCGAAAAATGAGAATGCTCTTGTACTCACTCACTCCGACTCTCTCAACTTTTTTTGTGTCTTTTACTCTTTCATTCTTTTCCAATCGGATGCTTCTTTGGCCTGAGGCAATAAGAATGCATCCATGCAGACCTCAATTACATAAGCACAAATTTTTCTTAACATACATACAAATACTAATGGCCTAGATAAGCAAATATGCATGCACATCTCGTTTTAAAAACTTATAACTTAATTATACATAAAAAATTAAAAAAAAAAACTATTCTTTTTTATTTACACACACATTTAATTTATACAAATTCAACTAATTTAAGCAAAGCTCCACAAAACAAGAATTTATATTATTTTTTAAATAATTATATTTATTTTATCTTTGTCTTTTATAAGGGCTTAAATGACCCTGAAAACTATCACGAATTCTGCAGGTTGCTTGCTCGCCTTAAATCAAATTACCAATTGGGTGAATTGATAGCAGTGCCTTGTTACCCAGAAGCAATCGAACTAATCGCAAAGTTCACCGTGCAATCATTGCATGTATGTATTAAAAAATAAGAAAGTGCGTTCAATAAAATATCTAACAATTTATTTCTCCTTCAGTTGTGGCTTTTTGCTCCAAATAGTGTTCATTATTTACTTACTCTTTGGCAACGGATGGTAGCTTCTGTTCCATACGTTAAGTCTCCTGATCCACATTTACTTGGTACCTACACACCAGAAGTTGTCAAGGCGTACATTGAATCACGATTAGATGCTGTTCCTCTTATTGTGCGAGACAATTTGGAGGATCCATTAGATGACCTCTGTATGGTGCAGCAGCAACTAGACCAATTGTCTGTAATTGAAAGATGCGAATATAATAAGACTTGTCAACTTTTAGTGCAACATTTTGATATAAAAGCTCGTGAGTATGAAAATTTGGTTCAGATTCCCAATTTTAATCCTAAAGATGTTATTGTACGTGAGTTGCAATTAACTTGGTTGGTGTACATAATTGGATCGGCTATTGTTGGCCGGCTTTCTGTTACGACAAGCGACGAACAAGACACTATGGATGCTGATCTAGTGATTAGAGTTTTACAATTAATAAGTTTAACAGATACTCGTTTGCCACAAGCTGGCTGCGAAAAGCTTGAGCTTGCAATTCTAAGTTTTTTGGACCAAGTTCGCAAAATGCATAGTAGTGAACAGGCGCAAAAGGCAAATGTGTACAAGAGATTAAATGAAGTCTTTGGACTAAGTGATGAACAAATGCTTTTAAGTTTTATAAATCGTAAAATGTACGTAACAAATATTTTTATATTTAGTCATCTAGCCTAACTTTTTTTTTTAATTTTCAGTATTACAAACCTAAAGTTTTGGGGTCGATCTGAACCGATTATTTCAAAGACTCTTATGCTACTTTCGGATCTTTCTCTTCACTTCAATTCAGTGCGAAAGCTTGCACGACTAGATGAAATACAATTTATGCTCACACATCACACCTGCGAACACTTTCCGTTCCTAGGAACCAACTCTTCTTTAAGTGAAATGAAGTGCAGAACTATGTTCTATACATCTTTGGGGCGGTTATTGATGTTCGATTTGGGCGAAGACGAGGAGAGATTTTACAACTTTTTGAAGCCATTAACAAGTAAGTTAACTTGTCAATATGCTCCAACCAAATTCAAAATATACTTTAATGTTAGGTCAATTTGAATTTCTTGGAACTGTACTTATGGAAACAAATGGATACCCTAACGATGAAGCTAAAAATGCGGTAATTGGCTTGGCGCGCGATCTTCGTGGATTGGCTTTACCATTGAACGCTCGAATTCAGTATACTATGTTGTTTGATTGGCTGTACGTATCATTTTAAAAACATTTGATAAAAATACCTCTGATAATGAATAATGTACGATAATGTACGATTGTTTTTTCTAGGTACTATACAGAATATTTACTAATATTTTTGCGGGCTGTGGAACTTTGGGCACACGATCCAGCGGTTACAACGCCAGTTTTAAAACTCTTTGCCGAGCTAGTGCATTGTCGTACCCAGCGGTTGTCAGGCAATGTGTCAAGCCCTATTGGGATTTTATTATTTCGAGAGGCATCGAAGCTTATTTGTTTATATGGAAATTGTATCTTGCAGCTTGAAGTTCCTTATGATCGACTATATTCTATGAAACTTAAAGGAATTTCTATATGCTTTCTAATCTTAAAAAACTCTCTTGGTGGAAACTATGTAAATTGTGGTATCTTTAAATTATATGGAGACAATACGCTAGACAATGTTCTTAATATTATTGCAAAATTAATTCTTTCTATAAACCAAAATGATTTGCTCGTAAGTAATTTCACAATTTTTTAAATTTTTGAAAACTAAATTCAGCGATAAAAACTCATTAAATTTTTAGCGATTTTACCTAAATTTTATTTTTTTTTTTAATTTATTCGACTGTAAATTTAATTGCAGGAATACCCCAAACTATCAACATCATATTACAATTTCTTAAATTGTCTTTCCCAAGAACATGTTACTTATCTTGCCGCATTGGAACCATCTGCATTTATGTACATATTAGAAACTCTTACAAAGGGAATTGAAGCATCCGGTTTGTTTTAAATCATAGATAATCATATATAATCGTATAATCATATTTTACTTTTTTACAGATTCTGCAACTTATATTATTTGCTGTACCATTTTGGATAGCATTGTTTCTTATATTTTTAAACAGTTGCAAATAAAAGGTAATAATACATGTTCTCGTAATAGTGTTTCAAATTATTTACTCTTGTAATAATTGTATCGGTCTCGGCATTTTCAGCGAACACATTTCCAATAAAAAAGCTTCATACTTTGACCCATGAAAATATAAAATTTTTAAAGGTACGTAAAAAAATATTAAATAAATAAAAAATGTTGATATTTCCGGTTATACCCGGTTCATCTGTTGCACCCACACGCACCCATGCAACAAAAATTTTTTCACTGAGAGTTCATACCTAAAAATATTAGTTAAAGTGTAGTTATAATATAGTCAGGTAATAGTCTCTAGCATGCCCGGCAATCATTTTTAGCCGGAGTGTGTAGTTAGAAATTTTTGCTTCCCTAAAAAAAAAAGATCGTCAATTGCGTTTCATGCGGTAAATTTAAAAACTTCTTTAGGATTCCGAGTGGGTATTTTACACGATTGCCGATTGTCGATTGCGTTCCACGCGGTACATTTGAAAACTTCTTGGGATTTCAAGTGGGTATTTTACCCGATTGCCGATTGTCGATTGCGTTCCAATTTGAAAACTTTTTTAGGATTCCGAGTGGGTACTACTACCCACCATAACCACATTATCTGCAGGCCCTAAAAAGAATGGACTAAAAGAATAGACTTTTAAAACAAGAATTTAAATGCTCTATAGTAAATAAATACTTTCTTGTTTAAAAAGTTTATCGTTTTTAAAGTCTATTAGAAAAAGGGATATATTGTATACTCCATATAGTACATATGTACTTTATATAACAGCCGGGTTGATAAGTCACGTCCAGCTATGCAGCTGTCTGCATAAAAACGTGGATATCTTTAATACCCTCATCCGAACTTCTCGATTGTAGCTCTGGTTCAAAAATGTTAAAATGGTTTCGCGCTTTTCTTCTTCGTTGTTTTGGTACAGTATTTTAAATTATTTAAATTATTTGTTTCGTGTAAAATCTAATAAAAAATTATCCAACGTTAGAGCCAAAGTTAGTTTATCATACTTGTATATAATTATCAGTTTCACTCCGAGCTTCAAAGAGTTAAGACGTGCGACTAACCTAAAATCCAAGCTACGGCTTATCAGCTTAATCTATAAACAGATCACCCGATTCAATAACTTCTCCGCGCTTAATCGCAAAAAAAACAAAAAAACAGCTGAACTTACTATATGTACTTACACACCACAGGGCCTGAGCCCAAAATTACTACAATGTCTCGACCACCCGACCGACCGCTGACAACAATTAACTTGATACAAAGTGAACCAAAATACATGGCAATTGCTAGGACTGATAATGGAAAATTTTATAAAATATCTCCGTTTATCATAACAAAAGTGATAGACTTCACCTGTAATGGACCAGTCAAAACTGAAAAAAACTTAGATCTGGTACCTTCATCAAAACCAAAACCTTTTTTTTAGTGTTCAGACACTACTAAAAATTCAGTCGTTTCAAAATTTCCCGGTCCACGCTGAAGAGCACAAAACTCGGAACTCCCTCAAAGGTTTTATCTACTCTACGAAAAGAAAACTAGCAAGAAATGCAAGATATCTTTAATACAAGAAAACAATGAGTACATATGAAGACTTAAACCTATAAATTTATACATAATATTGTATACAGGGTCATCCTATAAATAACCCGGACAAACATTTTTGATCATAACTTTTTAAGAAACTATTTGAGAAAAAATGCAGATACACAACTTTTAAATAGGTATTGTGTTAACAGCCGGTTTCGAAGTGGCTTCCTTGGGCTGCGATGCAGAGCCCTAAACTATTCTGGAAATTTAGTGCAATGGGCCGCCGGTATTCTTCCGATAATCGATCCCATTCTCGGAGCAATGATTGCTTCAGCGCCTCCAAACTTATGTGGCCAAAATAGACCACACACTGTAGTGCATCGGATTAAGATCTGGCGAGTAAGGTGGCCATTCACTGGATGTGATAAAGTGCGGAAAATTGGCTTTGCACCAGTCCTGAGTCAATTTGGCTTTATGGGCTGGCGCTGAATTCTGTTGAAACGTCCATTCCGTATCACCGAAGTGCTGCTGGGCCCAAGGAAGCACAACAGTTTCCAAAATGTCCCGGCGGTACACTTCCTGATTGATTTTGACCCCTTGATCAATGAAAACAACGGGTGTTTTACCGGTGGCGCATATTCCTCCCCAAACCATTAAAAACTGCTCACATTGACGGGGCTCGATTATTGCAGAGTAGAGGTCTGCATGAATAGCTAAAAAACGACATTCAAATGCACAGCCTCGAAAATGAATTGAGTGAGATAGAATGCTGAGACGAAAATTAATGAATGAGTGAGTGCGACTGTGTAGGTCTCACTCGCACAACATTCGGGGGATAAAAACCGAATTGAATGAGTTAGAGTTACAGTTCGCATTCGAATTGTTTCGAATGCATTCTAGAATGTACGATACAACTATGCATATTTGCCTGTATTTTTAGACGCTGATAATAAAATAATTCAAAAGTGAATTAAGTCATTGATTTTTTTTCCAGAAATATTCATTATTATGCTGTATATTTTATTTTACATATTTTACTTATATAAATGTAAAAATATTTTCAATATTTATGAATAAATAATTTTCCAGCACAATTTTGCCGCTAAAAAAATTTGCAAAATAATTTAATTTGGAAAAACTAAACAATAAACACTAAGAAAATAATAATAACAGTTAAAAACCAAAGTAAAAAAACACTCTATCATAATTCACCTTTCGGTCAATTCCCTCATTATTAAGGAAGTATTTAAGAAGCGTTTTGCGCAACAGAAGAAAATAAATGAATGCATAGAGTGTGTTAAAAACCATTCGAGACATTTGGCTGCATTCCTCATTCCAAAAGCACTCTTTTTACTTCCCACACCAACTCACTCTGTTTCAAAGCAAGAGAATGCCCATGAGTTACAATGCTTTCTCACACTCTCACTTCCTCTCATTCAATTTGTTGTGTCTCTTGCACTCATTCATTCTATTCCATTCGGATGTATTCTATGGCTGAGGCAATAAGAATGTATTCCTGCAGACCTCTATTGCAGAGGTACCTGGAGCTTCAGCCGACCAGCTTCTGTCATTTTGGTGATTGTGCGCCTGTTGGATGGTGAATATCTTCTCGTCTGTGAAGAGAATACGCTCCCATTTTTGTCCTGCGGCCCGACGCTTTAGCTGACGGCATCTTTGGAGTCTCACGTGCTTATTGTCATCCGTAAGAAGCTTGGAGCTTGTAGGGCTTGAGATTAAGTTCATTTTTTGCAATCAACCGAACACTTTCTCGATTCACTCCGATTTCACGGGCTATTTCTCTGACCGAGACTCTGCAATTCCGAGTGATCCGCTTTTTCACGATCTGGCGAATTCTGGAAGTGTTAGCGGTGTATGGTCTGCCTCGTCCGGGACGGTCACCTTCATGGCTAAGCTCATTAAATTGCCGGATAGCGTCAGAGACCGTTTGTTTTGGTATGCCAAGCAAACGAACAATGTCGCATTGGCGATTTCCTTGTTGAAACAGTTTTAAAATTGCACAACGATTGTTAGACATCCCGAAACAAATATCAAATTGATGGGAATCACAAAAATGTAAATATATTTGTTTCAGAAAAGTACAAGCTATCGATAAATGCATTTACTTAAGGGCTGCATCATAATACATTTATAATAGATTGCTTTAAAGTTTGTCCGGGTTATTAATTGTCACCCTGTATTAATCAAAATTATTCTAGTTCTAGTTATCCTTAACTTATACTCTTATTCTTAACATGCTTAAAATATTACAACTAAACATAAATGGATACCTCAATCCACCTACAAATATTCATAAAAAAAACCCTAAAATAATTTCCATTGAAGATACACACCTTCATTCTATCAATTATATTCCGATCCCAATAAACTTCACTCTGTACCACATAAATAGCTCGAAGAACGCTTATGGCGGTGTAGCCCTCCTATTCCACATCTCTAAGCAACAACAACAAGCCCAAATCCACAATATAAGCTTTGACTCTGTCGCCGTTACAGTACAATCTAAAATAAAATTCACAATAATTTCTAGTTATATACCTCCCAACAAACCTTTCACCCTACAAGAATTGCAAGACACTTACAACTATATTAACACTCCTCGCCTAATAATAGACGATTTCAACAGCTGGCACAAAAGTTGGGTATCACAAAATAATAACGCACGAGGAAACCTCGTTTAAATTTTTTATTTGTTTAAATTTAAAAACCAATCCTTGCTAACAAGAACCAATAATGACTCCCCAACCAACTTCACCTCACATATTGACCTTTTCAATTGTCTCCATAGACAATTGACAATCAACTCTCAGGAGGTAATGATCACTTCCCGATCTCAATCCAACTTTTTTGGAAATGAATCATCGGATTCCTCCATTATCAAAAAAAAGTTAAATATTGATAAAGGCCTCTCTATCAAAAACATAGCAAACAGTTCTCCGACCACAGATACTCCAGATACTATCACTCAGCCAACCAAGAATCACCAACCAAGAACCAAGAATCAGCTGGTACAAAGGTTTGCTGATTCTTGGTATCATAAGGCACAGCGCTCATCCATATCACAATGTCATCCTAACTCACCCACACAGGTCCCCTGGTGGGACACCGATCTACAAATTCTAAAAAACAACAAAAAAAATAGCCAGGAAAAATATGTGTCGTAATGTAAACACAGCCAACAAAATAGCTTACTAAAAAGCCAACGCGATTCTTAAACGAGAAAGAAACGGCACACTGTTAGTGTGCCGGCAGCGCTACGGCAGAATTTCCTACCCTATGCACGCGTGCTATGGAAAATGAGATTTTGCCCATCCTTATCTACATAATCAACTCAATTATCATGTTAAAAATTGATTATGGGTTATTTCTGTATGGAAAGGCACCCAAATCAAAACTTTTTGTTAAGTTTTGTTAAAAACAATATATCATTCAGCTAATAGAATAGCCTTCGGGTCCTTTCGTTCCTCAACGATAAACAACCTACTATACGAATCTACCATAAGACCTATACAACAAAGAACTTAACATTCTATATTAAAAAAAATTTAAAATGATATCCACCTCAAACAAAACCCCTCTAGAACACATTATTGCA